CTCTCGTTGCGGGCTTTTTATTGCCTCGTTTTTTAGCTGTTGTTATTGTTTTTGTTGTTAGGTCTTAATTTTCGTTTTACTTTGTAGCTTGGTGTGATCAAAAATAAACACGTCCAGCGCGCACGAGCTGCTCACAACGACTGAATGAGACTGGCTTAGACACGCTTTAAGCCAAGTTGTTTCCAGTGCAGCGCAAAGCTTTGGAAGCGCCACTTTTGGACGTCATCGTCATCGTCTCATTCCACGATTCGCGATCTTGGCTTGTTTTGCTTAACTGCTTTGCTTTTGCGCTTTTGTTTTGGGCTCTCCATTCGCCTTTAGCAGTTACCAGTTGCCGTTGCCTCACTACAGACCTGAGCGCTGAGAGCTCAGAGTGGCGAGTGGTTTTCGTGGCGTTTCCGTTTATGAAACGCATTTTGGTCTGTTCTGAAATATTTTGTTGTATCTCTCTCATGTCTGATGCTCGCTCAGGTAGTGGATAGAGGGAGTATGTGGCGCAGTTTTGGAAGGGGTATTTGAGTGGATGGGTTTAAGATAAATATATGAGTTGAGATGAGATCAGTTTGTGATAAATTTTTACTTGGGTATATCATATTTGAGATTTGTTAAGCAGATATACATATACATTCTTTAGATTTGACGAAGACTTTATAGTACCATATCTCTGGTAATATTGTAAATTGAATAGCTTTTTGTTAAATTTAACAGAGGGGCTGGATCAATCATCTATTGACTTTTAGTTCTCAGATAATAATATATCTTACACTAAAAATCAAAATGAATTCTTCAGATTAGTCAGATTCGGATTATTAAGATTCTCATTCTTCAAATTTAGCTTCTTCAGAGAAATTCGACTTTACTTACTTTTCTTTTTTACTTACCACTGAGTGTATTCGCTGCTGGCATTCTTATAAAGTCTCTCTCTCTCTTTCACACTGCCAGCGAGCATTGCGCAGTCGCTCACAGCCGACTCGCGTGCTCTTATTTGATTTTCCCACTCTATTTTAATGGACTTCACGTTAATTATTGATGACTTTGTGGTTTTTCTCTGCTCGTAATTGAACAATTTGTTGACTCGCTGCGGCTTATTTCAAAAGTTATTGATTATAAAAAATAAAAAAAAAAACGTAAAACGCAGCTTGAGCTATTAACCCTACCCCGTCCCTTACTTACCCTTAGTGCCAGCCCTAGCTCGTAATAAGTCCAAACAATAAGTTTTCTTTCATTTCTCAAGAATTTCTTTTTTCTCTTCTTTTGTTTTGTTTTGATTTTATTTTTGTATTTTTTTAGTGTTTTTTGTTGTGTATTTTGTTTTGTTGTTCGTTTGTTACCCTTGCAGTTGTTTGTTTTGTTTTGTTTTGTTTTTGGTTTTGTTTTTGGCTTGTGGCTAAACACACACACGGCTTTAAAATGCTGTTGTTTGTTTATATATATAGATGTATATATATATGATCGAAGTGAACGATCATAAGTACATTATTATTTCGGGTATACAGGTGTTTTTAAGATAAGCTCGATTCACTTGCTGCAAATCGGCGCTGCTCTGAATATTATCATTAAAAAATGCCATTAATTTGTTTTCACTTGTCTTCTCGACTTTTTCGATTTTTAGTTATGATTTTGCTTTGTCTTCTTTTCACTGCTGTTCTTATATTATATTTTTTTTTTGTGTTTTTATTTTTTATTAATTTTGGTTTTGTTTTATGAATGAAGTCATGCTGAATTAATTTATTGTATAACCTTATAAATTAATTAATTAATTTATAGTCACAAAATAAAGCTATAAATTTTTATATTTGTTTTTTTTTTTTTTTAATTTATTTATTGAATTCATAAACTTATTTAGCACATCTCGCAGCTGTGAAGTTCTACGATCCAAATATTTCTTCTATTATAATTAGCAACAACACAACCAAATCGATGTAGTTTCTTCTCTTTCCTTAACCCTCCCTCCCCAGTCCCATACCATCCCTGCGATCCCCTAACAAATGGCATAACAAAAGAATCCTGAGGTTAACTCAAAGCCGATCAAAACACAACAAAAACTACCGAAAGGCGTAAGTTACATATTTGAATTATATATGCTCTTGTCTTATGTGTGCTACGCTAAGAAGCAATAAGTTTCGTTCCATATAATATTATTAAATAACGTTCTCTTTCTCTCACTTGGCTAACTAAAAAATCAAAAAATCTTCAACAATTTCTTTATGTTTGTTTATAGTTTTTGTCTCATTTTCATTTAATTACTTTGTTTTTTTTTTTTTTTTGTCTTAGATGAAACCCCATTTTTTATGTTTATTGTAATTATTTAATGTAGGCATATTAATGAATAAACTTTTTTTATTTTCTTTTTTTGGCTTTTGATTTCTATAATAATAAATCGCAATAATGCTTCGAAATGCAATTAGGTATTAAACTATGAAAAGGAATTTTGTAAATTTTGTTATAGCTTTATTTATGGTTTTTTAAGTAAATTAGTGGAAAAAATCTAAGAGAAAATGCTAACAAAATGAATTTTGTGTTTCATATGGAATTTCCATCCAGCAGCATGAAGTTTTCAATTAAGATTTTCTTGTGTTGGTTTTTAGGTCTTTTTTTTATGGGATTTTTGCTCACAGTCGGAGCGACAAATAGCACATTAACTAGCGGCTTATAGACACTCAATCAATCAATCAATCAATCATTGATACACTTAATTTAGTAGCCTAGTTTCATTTGGTTTTTCGTATATACTCGTAATTATTATTACTTTTCGATTTGAGTGTGTAGTGTAGAAAGGTGTGTGTGTGTGTGTGTGTGTGTGTTGATACAGAACATTTGTCTGAAATATTATTTTTGGTCTTCTCTTGTACAGATCTAATTGGTAACTAATTAAGTTATATCTAGAATTCTTTCATTTTCATTTCATTTCATTTCATTTTCGGTTTCTGTTTTGTTTTTCTTTTGTTATATATCTAAATTCTTCGGTCTTCGATCACTTAAGCCTGCAGTGCGTTCCCATATTATGGGTTTACCAAAAATCATCGCTTAGTTCTGCTACAGAACTTACTCTACAGCATCATCATCATCGTCATTTCAACATCATCAGCATCTTTGTCTCATCTTAACTCAAATGTGATTTTCAGCATTCGTTTTATAGCTTGGCAACTAACTAACATTACAATACATTTAGATCTTTCAGTTAAGAGTAACTATATATATATATCATTTATTATATATTATATTCAATATATAATTTTATACCCAATGCCATATTACATATAATATTTACTAATATAGTAGTACAATATAATATTGCATTAAAAGTTCTTCGACTGCTTCTTTATTCTCTCTATTTAACTATTGTTTTATTTTTTTTTTATTATTATTTTTTAAATGTAATTTATGTGTATGTTTTTTCTTCTTCTTTTTTTCTTTTTGTGATGTCTGTTGTATGCTGTGGCAGTTCTTTTCCAATAGTACAAATATTTTGCATGTTTTTTTTTGTGTTTTTTGTCTTTCATTTTTTCTTCATTAAATATTATTTTCAATTTTTTAAAGTAAATCGTTTCCCATATACACATCTAGTAAATTTTTTGTTGTTTCTCAAATTACAATTAGCAAATATTACATTACGCTAATTATTCATGTTAATTTCAATTTTTAATTAAATTATTTGTATAGTAATTACCGTTATTTGTGTGTGTTTTGTGTGTTTTTGTGTCTTTTCAAGTTAATTATTTTTAGTTTTTTTTTCTCCATTTTTTTTTCATTTTGATATTTTCTAATTGAATCCTTAGAAAGATAATATTTACAATGCAAATTACATACAATGCGCAATGGATTAATAATGTTTTTTTTTTTTACTTTTTATTTGTTTATCTAATTATTAAAATTAGCGAAGTTCAAACAAAACCCTAATGATGCTATATACTCTATGCGTATAATGTAAGTGTGTATGGCAAAAAGTTTTAGGTTCGTATATATATTTATATAATTAGAGATAGATAGATAGATAGATAGAGAGAGAGAGTGAGACAGAGGATTACAGCTAGAGCTGTTAAATAACAGTTTATATGGCTTGACTCCATGAGCTGCTTATCGGAATATCTATTAAAGCTTTTCCGATTTCGACTAATTTAATCGTTTTAATCTTAGCTTAAGTTTAGGTTTGTCTTTTTGGTTTTGAATTTGCAATTTAGTTTCATGGTTATTAGAATTATTTTGTAGATATTAGATTTATGTACATATTGCATTGACCTATGCAGACCTTAGTGGCAGTGCCCTTTTAGTGGGAGAGGGAAAGGGGGGTGAGTGGTGAATGGCCTTTGTTTTTTTTTTTTTGCCAGCACTTTGCGCTCTTTTGTCTCTTCTAGTTTCTCCAAACTGCCATCTCATTTCTCTTTTGTACTACAGCGAGCAATATTTGTTGTTGCCGTTGTTGTTGTTGTTGTGTGTTGTTGTTTGTGTTGCATTGTTGCTGGCGCGTTGCATGCGTCGCAAGATTTGACCAGTTTGTTGCAGTCGCAGCAGTCGCTGCTCATGCTGCTGCTGCTGCTGCTGCAGCTCCTGCTCCTGCTCCTGCTGGTGTTGCAGTCGCAGTTGCTCCTGTTGCTCCTCCCTCGTTGTGTGGCTGTTGCTAGTGCTAGCAGCTGCTGCTCCTGTTCGCGTCGGGGTCAGTTGGTTAGTAAGGCAATTTGGCAATATTTCAACCGCATGCACAACAATCACACACACATACGCACACACACACATACACACATAGAGATATAGAAAGAGTATAAAACACACACATGTACAACATATTGTGGGCGTATGGGGGCGTGACACACACAAACACTGTGAGTTTGAGAGAGCAAAAGAGAGAGACAGAGAGATAGAGACAGAGACAGAGAGTATGATGCAAATTCATATGAGGCGCATTTCGTTGCGGGCGGCTGCTCCACGCCCCATTCTCAAATATATATATATAATATATATATTGTATGGATTATTTTTTGGTTTCTTTCGATTTCGATTTCGTTTTCGATTTCGATTTTCTTGTATGAATCATGGAGTCATGAGGAACATGATATGTACACCATACCGATCGGCTGATGCTGATGGGGCAGCACGCTCCCGTGTTATATGATACTCTCGCGATTCCGTTCCAGCTCCTCGGCCTCATTCTCTGGATCCACGCTGGACGTGGACGAAACGCCACAGATTTGCATTTCAATCTCAGCCAGACGATTCTCCAGGTCCCATTGCTGCTGCGAGAGCTTAGTGTTCAGAGCCTGATTCTCCGACTCAACGGTATGCAGACGTTCTCTCAGCCGCTTAATCTCATCCTCGAGCGCCTCATGGGAGCCGAGCAGCGGTGTGGTGCCACCGCCAGCGCCACCCACGCCGCCGCCATAGCATTCCAGCTGCGAGCTCGAATCGCAAATGTGACCTGGGGGCGACAGAGACAAATAGAGAGGGAGAGAAAGAGAGAGAGCGGGGGAGAGCGAAATAGATAGTGATTGGCATGAGTGAATGCTGAGTGGTAGTGGTGTGGGCTTCCATGTTGGCTTACCTGTATGACTCGGCTGCGACTGCGGCCGCATTGAGTGGTGCGAGGTGGCGCGACTCCTTGGCCTCTCCTCGGAGCCGTGTGCGCTGGGACTAATCGAACGCGGCGAGTCGGTGGCACGCACCAAATGCTCCGTATAGCTGCGTGGACTGCAAGCATTCAGTGTGGAATACGCAGCGACAGGGCAACAATCAAGACTCACCTGTAGCCATGTGAATGGGACAGCTGCTGCTGTTGTTGCTGCTGCTGCTGTTGCTGCTGCTGCTGTTGTTGCTGTTGCTGCTGCTGTTGCTGTTGTTGTTGCTGCTGCTGCTGCTGTTGCTGTTGCTGCTGATGTTGCTGCACATGATGCAGCATATTGCCGGCAGCGGGAGGCAGCCACATGTCCTCCAAAGTGGTGCGACCGCAGCTCTCCACCAGTCCCGGCGTTGACTGGCAACGGCCCATGGCAACTACATTAAAGTATTTGACTGTGTTTTAAAATCAAAAACGTTCACACCGCAAAACAATTTGGGGAAAAGTCGGGAAACAACGAAAAGCAAAAGAAACAATCGATTTGTGTTATTCAGAATTAGGGGGAAATCGTATTTCGTATTCGTATTCGTATTCGTTTCGATACACTCAGAGAAAAGTGCTGTTTGAAGACTTGTGAAGTTTTCAAGTTGCACTTAGATGGAGAACATATTTGAATATTAATATATATTTTTTATTTGAATACTTTTATGTCAAAAAAAAAAAAGAGAATTAAAATTATGTTGTTTTTATATTTTTTTGTATTTTCTGTTTATATATATTTTTTTTTAATTTTTAATTTTGTTTATAGATTTTTTACGAGTTCTAAATAATCTAAAGTATTTAGAGAATATTCAATTATATTTAATTAATTAATTTTGGTGCATGGAATATAATAAATATTTATGCTCATATCATTTTTAATACTTGAAGGAAATTAAAAATTTATCAGTGAGTTTTTTTTGGTTTTTAAAATCCGTTTTACTTATTAAATTATTAATTTAAAATTCATTTTCATAAGAAAAGTTTACTTTAATTTAATTTTGATTTGAATTAAATTATTTTATAAGTAAATAATATATATATATATTTTTTTTTCAAAGTTTCCCTCTTCACTTCTTGCAGCACATGGAATTTTCTCTGAGTGTATCTGGGACATGCACTGATTTCATTTGGTTTCAATTTCGAGCGGGGCGTGTGCTGTTTTGGGACTGTGATTCTGCTGCAGTTGTGCAGCAGCTGCAGGTCGAGTTAATGACTAGATGAGATGAGATGAGATGAGAGCTCTTCTCTTACCTTTCTCCAGTGGCGCCTTCTTGTATTTCTCCAAACGCTTGACGGCTATCGATTCGAGGCGAACGCGAGCCGCCGGATATTCCTTGAGCACGTCCCACATGTCCTTTTTGCTGAGCACGAACAGATCGCTGTAGCCCACGGAGCGGACGCTGGCGGTGCGTCTGTTGCCTGTTGCAGGGCAGCCAAGTGCCGCAATGTGCCAAGTTGCATTAGGTTGGCAAATGTGGCAAAGTTGCACGTTTGCGCGCGACAAAACAATCGAAGAGAATGCAGCAGCAGGGCGCAAGAGGAGCGGGTAAAGGGGGGGACATACAAAGTTTAATATCAATAACTTGCCAAAGGTATTTTACGTTTGTTATTGTTCTTGTTGTTGCTGTTGTTCTCTGTTGTTCTTATTGTTGAGTGCACACAGAAACAAAGGCACACACACACTAACACCAACACACACACACACACGTACATATGCACACATTAAAATTGCATGCCAACCAGAAAGGTATGCAGGCAATTGGTCGCAAGCTGCACAGTTGAATTGGACTCAGATAGAAAGACAGTTTGTTGCAATTGGAAATTGGAAGTTGGGCAATTGGGTTGACAGTTGCACACAGAGCGAGCATTTATTGGATGCACAAGTGCTACACACATACATATAGATAAGATGTATATGTAGGTGTATGTCTATGTCTGTCTGTCTGTTGGTTCGTTTGTCGCTCGTGTTGGGGCCACCATTTGCTACAATCAAGCAGCGAGCAGCGAGCAGCCATAACAGCAACAGTTTACTCAGCTCAACAGCTAAATTTGTGCTTTGCATTTTTTATGGCATACAATTTGAAGCTGCTAGACAGCCGGGCTGCGACCTGCTCAGCTCCTGAGTTGCTCTTTCAGCAAGAATTTCAATCTGAATACGTAACTATTTGCGCAGAATATTTACATTTTGCTCTTTTACTTTGGAGACTCTTTAGACACTTAAGAGTGCGAGTTAATATCTGTATTAGAATGTTGTAAGTTCCATTAGGTAAAGTGCTAGAACTGTCACTTAACTAGCTGTTAAATATTTGCACCGCAGAGCGTTGCCACCTGGTTGCAATTTATTAATATTGAGCTATGCTGAACAGATAAATATCGTGTTTAATTCAAAGTATATATGGCTGGTAAGAATATATAATATGGCGTTGCCACCTTGTCGAAACTATTCTGTAGTTAAATGTGAACTTTATGAGAGTAGCTTCTATAAACATGATTGACAAACTAAAATTCTTTGAACCTATTAGAATTTATCGTGGCCCCCTTATTTTAGGCACATATGGCAACGCCGAATTCGGTATTAGCTAAGCATCAACACTAACCATAATGGCATCATCTGAAAACGTCGATTTTAAGCACAGTGCACAATTGTCTATTATTAACTATACGCGTTATTATATGAAAGCCAGCGTTGCCACCTAGTTTTGCTTGAAAAATAACAAACAATGCCAATTGAACAGAGTGCATTAGCTAGTTAACATGGAAAGTTCATGCTCAAGTACATGTTAGATATTTACAATGTGTACAGTGTTGCCACCTTGTCTGACATAATTTATAGCAAAGCATCAACTTGATATTAATAACTTCTATTTATTTTTGACACCATCTACTTAAGAAGTTTATAATTTTGACACGAACGAATTTTAAGATGTTTGGGCGTTGCCACACTTCTAATATTTCCAACTTTAGTAAACTTTATCAAAATTCCGTAATTTGAAGCTGCCTCTGGAAGCCCTCAGCGAAACTGTTGCATAAACTATATGCAGAATGCATAAATTTTGGAATACCTTAAAGCTGCAGTGAAGTTGTAGCAAATGTTGTTAACTGTTTAGTGTAATTGAATAGAAAAAGTTGGCGTGCAATTTGAAAAGTATTTCAGTAGAAATATGTGTGTCTGTATTGGTGTGCGTGTGGGTGTCTCTGTGTGTGTGTGTGTGGTGCATGTTTAATTGTGGCAACAACAGGGCGTATACTTAATTGAAAATACTCTCAAAACACAATTCAAAACGTTTAAATTACGGCCAGGCAAAGCAATACAACAACGACTCACACAGATACAGTTAAGAGAGGCATGGAGACAGTGGTTGGGCTGAGTAGAAAAAAATAAATTTAATAGACAATATTCGATCACAACTACGAGACATAGAGACTGAGTGAGTGAGAGAGAGAGAGAGAGAGAGATGGGAAGGACTAATTGGATTGTGTGTGGGGGGAATGGGGTTTGATGAAAGCGCTCAAGTCATGCAGGTAAACTAAACGATTCGACTCAAGTGACGCAACGGCAGCAACAGCAACAGCAACAGCAACAGCAGGTGACAACAGCTTGACAGCAACTTGGCCAATTGTCTGTCAAGCAGGAGTCGACAACTAATTGAGCCAGACGAACCAAAAAGTTTTACTCAACTTTTGTCAGGCTTTTATCAAATAGAATTAAGTTGCTCAGTTGCTGGTGCTGCTGCTGCTGCAAATCGAATTAGGCAGCTGCAAGTCAAGTATGCAATGCCTGCCACACACACACATAGACAAAGTGTGAGAGAGAGAGAGAGAGAGAGACTCATATAGGCACATGTTATGCAGGCGCTAAGATTAATTTTGTGCATTGTTGTTAATTAAATGACACAAATAAGTGCTCTTTACATATACATATATATTTTATATATACATATATATGTATACATATATTTACATTTGCCAGCACGTGACTTATCGCTGCAATTTACGGTCGACTTGCGTTCACTTTTAGCCAATTGTGACAAGGCTTTAAATTGCGCCCACTTGAATTTTGGTTTTGGGTTTGCGAATGTGAATAAAAATTTACTTTGACATCGACAATAAATTGCGCATTATTATTGCTGATTTAAGCCGATTTTATTGAAGTCTATGGCAATTGTTTAATTTGCCAATATACATATATTTATATGCAATATATATATATATATGTATATATAAATATTGTGTATGCAGCTCAATAAAACGTGGTGCATGCAGGTGTAATAATTGCATTTGCCATTCATTAATTTTGTGTGCGGCCAGCAGGGCATTTAAAAGAGACAACAATAAGTTAATATGTGTGTGTGTGTGTGTGTGTTTGCTATAAAAGCGCATTGCATACTTTTAGGAGCGGGCTATGAAAACAATTTTTCGGCACAAAACTGCAAAAAATATGCGAAGGAAACAAAAATTGTTTTGCACTACTGCCAACAGTGCATGAAAACAAAACATAAAAAAAAGTTAAATAAAACAATGTTAAAATGTAATTTAACTATGACTACTAAACTAGACGAAGTTTAAATACACTAACTGAGCCTTTGTTGCCTTTCAGCTGTGATTGGAAGGCAATTCTATTATATGCTAGATGCCCCTTGGTTACACCTCGTCTACGCCTCATAGAGTTCAAAGGCTAAGCTGTGCGTGCTTCGAGCTTTGACTTTGTAGCTCTGCTCTGGGCAACACGAAACTGTATACAAACACCTAATTTGGCACACCTGGCGCACATGTTGACTTGATAAGAATTGTTTGATTTGATTTGACTGGATTAGTAGTCACATATTTGCAGTGAAACATTCTTGAGTAGGGTCAAGATTTGATTGAAAAACGCTTTGGACAACTGATTATGTCAATCAATGAAATAGTAGTATATGGGTGGTATAGGAAATGGTAGTATATAGTAATATAAACAGAATATGGTAGTATATAGTAGTGTATAGTAGCATATACATATATATATACAATATAGTATTAGATCGCCCTAAATTTGGTAATATTTAGTAGTATCTATAGTAGTAGACCGTAGTGAATAGTAGTATATTTAGTAGTAGACCATAGTAAATATAGTAGTACGTTGTAGTGGATCGTATTATATTTAGTAGTAGACCGTAGTAAATATAGTAGTAGACCGTAGTAAATATAGTAGTAGACCTTAGTAAATATAGCAGTATGTTGTAGTGAATCGTAACATTATTTAGTGGTAGACCGTAGTAAATATAGTAGTATGTTGTAGTAAATCGTAGTATATTTAGTAGTAGATCATAGTAAGTATAGCAGTATGTTGTAGTGAATCGTAGTATATTTAGTAGTACACCGTAGTAAATATAGTAGTATGTCGTAGTGGATCGTAATATATTTAGTAGTAGACCGTAGTAAATAAAGTAGTATGTCGTAGTGAATTGTAGTATATTTAGTAGTAGATCGTTGGTATATAAATTAGTAGAGGGTAGATTATCTTAGAAGATCGTAGAGCCATTAGGTTATATCTATATACTATCAAATGATGCTGACAAACTGTCAAAACTTGTCTAAACTGAGAAGTAGAGCCTATTTTGAGATATCTAAAATACTTCAAATTTACAGCTTATATCGCTTGCCAAAAATAAGGTAATTATGCCTATAAAGCTTATCACTAACGAAAATAATGAATGAGAAATAAATATTGCTTTATATATATTTTTAATCTCTAGCATACCAATTGCTAAAGACCCCCGCTGTTAGTGTGTGCAAAAACAATTGAAAATAAATACATATATATAAAATAAATTAAAAATAATTTGAAAATATTTACGGGAATTTATTTTAATTTCATTCGGATGTTGCGCTCCATTGAATTTTATGCCAAAGAGGGTAAAACTAATTAATTAATGTGCGAAATAATGAAGACAGTGATAAAGTGGATGTGATGAGAGGAAGAGTGTGAGTGTGAGTGTGAATAAACATGAGCATGAATATGAGTATGGGTGTGCGTGGGTTAGATAAGTTAGTTGTGCGACTAAGTGAAACGCTTGAAGAGCGTTGACTCACTTTAAAGTGAATTGTGCATAGGAATTTATTGCTATTGAGGGGACTTTTGTTTTGTATATCGGTAGGTATACATATATATATATATGGAATATATATAGACGAGCAAAAACACTTAGCTAAGAAACATGTATACTTGGAATTATTGATAAAAAAACTGTTTGTGTGTGTTTTATGGTGAATTGCTGTAGATGTTCAATGTATTTTGTTGTTGTTGTTGTTGTAGTTACGTTAATTCATTGATTTGTTTGTTTAATTGATTTGTTGCTATTGTTCCGCCTGTCGCACTAAAACGGGATATTTACCAAGTTCTTTACCTGCGGTGCCCATATTCAGTATACTAATTTCGCCGAAATAGGAACCTGCCTTTAACGAGGCCATCACCGTCTTGCCATTGTCAGCGACGACCTGTAATCGTCCACGATTCACAATGTACATCTCCTTGCCCACCTCGCCTGCAGAGCACAGAGAGAGTGAGAGAGAGAGAGAGAGGCAGAGAGAGAACGAAAGAGTTATTCAGTTTGAAATATAAATATATATATATTTGTATATGTATGTATGTATGTATATACGCTGGTCAGTTACCTTTGCGGCAAATGTAATCGCCCGGAGAGAAGAGTACGGGTCGCAGTCGCAGCACCAATTCGCAAAGGAAACCCGCTTCGGTATTTTGAAAAATCTCAACCCGCTTAAGTGTATCTAAATGGACGTTAATTGCTATTTCAGCCTGCAAAACAGAAACAGAAACAGAAACAGAAACAGATATAGCAACAGTAACAGAAACCGTATTAAGAGAGCGAGAGTGGGAGAGGGAGAGGGAGGTTCGGCTCTGTTACACAGAGCATTAAAGGACAACAGAACAAACAAAAGGAATGGAAAGAAAAGAAGAATGAAAGTAAAAGGAAAGCCCGGCAACAACATGCCACACCAAATGGACAATTCGTGTTGCCACAGCAGCTGCTTGCACAGAGAACTAGCAGCCGACTCCTGCTGGAGCAGCAGCAGCAGCAGGAGCAGGGCTACTGTACCTACGGCAGATTATTTACCTTTAATTTATCAGGAAGACAGGATACGGCGCGCTCCTCGTCTGAGCACTTTTGCGTGAGCCACAGGTAATCGAACCATTTGATGACCTTCACCTGCAGATGATTCGGAACACGCCGCATGCGCATGTACGTCTTAACTCCGTCCAGCTTGGCTGCAAATAGCAAAAGTACTCGATACATGTAGCACATACTTTCTCCATATCCACATATAGCTATCTATATCTCGTTACATATACATATATACGTGTGTCTGTGTGTGTGTGTGTGTGTGTGTGTATCTCATATAAAGTAGCTTATAATATATGCACGCTTGTTTGTACTTTGGATTACACGCAAATCGAAACGGTTGCCGCATACAAATGTCGAATGACCAGCGGCGTTTTGGGTGTGGATGCTGGGCAATGGCTACGCCCAGTCGCACCACCGAAGCCAACAACCAGCCACCTCATCCACCACTAATCGCTACGGCTTCCGACCAAATCAGCGTTTTGTTCTGCATAAATTTCATTAGCCGCCCACACTGAGCGAAAAAATTGTGCATTAATTTGTTTTTAATTTAGGAAATTTTAATGTGAGTTTCCTTTGAAGTAGAGCTAGGAATTAAGACCATCCGGCTATTGATAGTTATTGTTTAGTATAAGACAGATTCCAAATAAAAAAAATAAATAAAATAAAAAATGTGTTTTTTATTATATAAATATTTTTTAAAATTAATTTTTATACATATTTAACATATTTTTTATTTTTTATTATTATTATTATTTTTTATTTTTTTTACAAATTTTTTTAAATATTATTTAAAAAATATTTACTTTTAGTTAATTAATATTATTTAAAAAATATTTACTTTTAGTTAATGCTCACAATTTATTGCATAAATTTTCATATATTCATAAATACAAATATTCATGAATTTTCTGCACAAAATGTAGACAACACTGAGAGAAAAAAAAAAGCTTCATCATTACATTTATTAAAGTATATATTTTTATCATTATATTTATTATGGTATTTATTTTTAAGACATTTCATGCAACCTTTGCCATCGCATTTTCTTTCAGTGTACGTGCCCTATTGTGCTTTAGCTGACTAGCCAAAAGTTTCAACATGAAAAGAAATTCAATTGGCAACACCTGGCGTATGCGTAATATTAGTCTGTAATTAGTTATGGCTATTAGGAAATGTTTTCTGCTCTTGGGAATTTGTAAATGCTAGTGAATATTAGCGAACAAACAAGAGAAACAGAAAACAAAAGCGAAGAGACAGGGAAGATTCTATAACGGTTGTTCACCACAAAAATTGTGCCAAATGCACAGTCTGAGTCTGAGCAACGTTTACAGAGTGAATTATCGAAACTTACGTACGTTTGCGACAGCTAAGTGCAGTTCCGGACTTCTTTGTTTTGCTCTCGGGCGCTGTGTGAATGGATATGCGTGTGTATGTGTGTGTGAGTGTATATATATTTGAGTGGATAACCAAGCGGTGCTCGATGAGAGGAAATTAAATCTCTACTTGGCTCAACGTCACAGGCAACAAATATTGACACAATTTGTCGATTGACAACTGCGGTTGGCTGTAGATATTGATGGTGTTGTTGTTGTTGCTGTTGCTGTTGCTGTTGTTGCTGTTGCTGTTGTTGTTATTGTTGCAGCTGTTGTTGGTGGCACATTGACAGACAACGACTGAGAGCTTTCGTCATGGGTGGTTGGGCTGGCAGCAGTACCCAGTTTTGTTTGCTCGTGTAAACATTAGCAAACCAACTGGCAAACAAGCAAACAGATTGAAAACAAATAAATAAAATTGCTTGTCGGCCCAGCAGGCACAAATGCCAGGCGAAAGCCCAACTCCCAGCACAACTTCAACTAATTTTGCAGCTCATCTATAATGCAAGTGAAGGCCACTTGGCCCACATTCATTTATCATAGCATCATTTGTCCAGCTCAATACCTTGTCGCCCAATCAGTCAGCCGGAGTCCGTTCGTGTGAACAGCTTGAAACTTTCCTTCCACCAACAACAAACAATTCTCTCTCTCTCTCTGTGTGTGTGTGTGTGTGGGTCTGAAACTTTCGTTAGCAATATTATTGCAATCGGGAAATTACATTCAATTCGAAAATTGCTCGAATAACTTCACAGCACAGAAATCAAAGACATTCTATCGGCCATGAGTCATCCAAGAAGACTATTAGCTAAATATAAACAGTTATCTCTGCAAGCAAATAGCTGCCCATTCAAATTATTAAACTTTCTCTTATCGCCAACTATTCGATTTTTTTTATCAAAGTTTTATCAGCTGATTCCTGGTAAGTCTTCTGGGATCCCAATAGCCAATAGATAAGCAATTATTTATAACAAAGTCTTATGCATGAGACACGGGTCAATCAAGAGTGAAACCTGCTTATCATATCGCCCAAAGCAAATGATAAGCAGAGCCGCAAGCACTATATAAGCAGCAAATCCATCAGCTAGTCAGTTATTAACGAATTCGAAATTCATTTGCAATATGTTGTGGCATCAACTAATTATATTCGCCATTGTGGCCCTGGCGTGCACCCAGCTGCACATGGCTAGCAGCCAATCAGCTGGCGCCATCATCTGTCCAAAGAACTTCACCCTGGTGGGCGAGAAGTGTCTGCTTGGAGTGGGCAATGTGTTCAACTGGTACGAGGCCGATCGCAATTGCCGCACCAAGGGCGCCGGAGTGCTTAGCCTGAGCAGTGATAAGGAATTGCAGTTGGTCACCGATTGGCTAAATAAAACCATGCAGTTCACCCTGGAGCTGTGGACCTCGGGCTCCAAGCTGGGCAGCTCCAGCGTCTACTATTGGCAGAGCACCGGCCAGCAGGCGCGCTATCTACCCTGGGCCACAGGCCAGCCCAAGCCAACAAGCGGCGACTGCCTGATGCTCAGTGGCACTAGAAACCCCACATCCGTCACCAACTATCGCCTGGTGGTTCGCAATTGCGCCGAATGGGCGGCTTCTGTGTGCGAAGTGGTGCCGGCCAAAAATGCGACCACACGCATCTGCCTCAAGCCGAGTGCCTACGAAACGGTTCAAGTGATTGGAAATTAAATATAGAAATGTAGGACTATCTAAATTTGTGGTGAAGAAAGTCCCATATGTAGATCTTAACATTGTTGTAATGAAAAAGGCTTCGAATTATTGTTAAACAGAAATAAATTTGCTTTAATAAAAAACTTGTTGTTTACTACGTTGAATCGTATAAACTATCAAATGGTATATACAACATAACTAAGATTAATAGAATAGATCGGAGAATCAGAACACGAGGAACACGACCTTTGCTAAAACTATTTCAACACATATGTATGTATATAGGCATCTGAAGCTATGAATTTGAAGATTTTAATATAAGAATTTTGCCATCTAATGGTATAAGATTCCCAATAAAAGTATTACAAGACAACATATGTGTAGGAATTGCATATGGGCCTATGCCATAGACACTGCTTTTAGCTTGGATCAATTGTAAGCCTCTTTAAGTCTTAGTTCAATCTTATAATTTATCTCTCGAGCTCACCCTCTCCCTGGCCTGCACCCCAATTACTCTATCTTTATGCTCAGCCTCTATTTACAGCTCTCTCAATGCTTTATAGCTCACATAGCTCGCATTGACGACATTGCATACTGTTGGGCTTATCCGTTTGCTGTTTGAAATACTTTGCATGCTTCGCCATGAAGCGTGTTACTTTGTGGGTTCTCTATTTGTGTGGTTGTTGTTGTTGTTGCTGCTGCTGTGTGAGAAATATTGCGTAAGGGTTGCCTCTCAGCTGTATCGGATATCGAGGTATCGATTATCATACTTCCCTCTTCCTGCTACACCCTTCGGAAAACATAAAAAACTTTACTCATTGGCAACGAAATGCAAGCAAGGATTATTGCATGGCAACGCGACAGCGTCTTGGCAGAAACACACAACCATTACATACAACGGATATATATGCTCTTGCCGATGGCAAAAAACACACATACACACATACATTATATATACATATATATAGCTGTGTAGGAGCAGCAGGGCGACAGTATGCAAAATTACAGCGATTTTTATTGCGGTTCTGCTTGACTGCATGACACCGCTAACATTCCGGCAATGAAACCAGCGACGTGAGGGTCTTTGAATAGGGCGTGGATGTATGTACGCGTGTGTGTGTGTGTGCGTGTGCGTGTGTGTGTGTGCTGGCTCTGTTTGTGCATGTCACGTTACGCTCTGTGAATTCTTTTTTAACAATTGAAAATCAATCTAAATATTAATTGCATAGTCCAGGCCAGCATTTTATTCAAATCGAAATTCCCAAAAAAGTAATAAAGAGCTCCTATAGATGCATATACATACATACATACACATATATAGACAATATACAAGCATATCCATTGTCTGGCTTGTTCTCGGCTCAATAACTGTGGTTCGGTTGTTTATGTAGCAATTATTTGAGATTTAATTTCTGCTCTCTGTGGCTGCTGTTGCTTCTGTTGATGCTGCCTCTGCTGCTGCTGCTGCTGCTGCTGTTGCTGCCCAGTTTTATCCTTAGCTGCATTTCATTCTGCTTTCAACGCATTTTTCCATTCCGTTGCATTTTGCCGACACAAAATTTAATTTGCCATTTTGCCCCGAAGTAAGCCACAGCGCTGGGGCGTGGCTAGCCAAGGGGCTTTGCGGTTCGGTGGGGTTTCGGTGGCGGCCCGAGCCATAGGGGGGCTGTTGGGGTTTTTGTAAACTGCATTTGGCTTCACATCTTGGCCGCACACATTTTTCTTCAGATTTGCCGTTGTCGTTATTTCTTTTTCTTTTTCTTTCATTTCATTTTTTCTTCTCATATTTATTTTTCATTTTATGCTCTGCTTGGCCACAGTTGCCACAGGCGCATTTTGATATGCTGCTGCCATTGCTGCTGCTGCTGCTGCGGCTGCTGCCTCTGCTCTTGTTCTTGTTGCATCAACGTGTAGCACACACACATACTATTTGCGGCGCCTGACCACCTTGAGCACTAATCAACAACCATAATTGCATTTAGAGTCTTAAGAGCTCAATGGCTGGCAAAAATTGTGACCACCGAGCTACAAGTCGTCCGACAGGCTGGCAATCAAGACAATTGTCGCTGGGCTTGGGATTAAGTGCGTGTCGCCAAAGAAAACAAAGAAAGCGCAAAAACAGAGAATAAAACAGAAGAAATTATATGAAGAAACAAAAAAAAAAAAAAAAAAAAACTTGGCATGTGTGAGTTTTTGCCTTTTGTGGCGCAACAATATAAAAATCTGGGGTGCAAAAGTTCAGGCCATTGTCTGTGGCAAACAAACTGCAGTCAAGTTTCTGCTGCAGCAGCTAGGGGTGGCGTGTGGGCGTGCCATGAGTTTATACAAACAGTAAATATGCGTGACAAAAACTTGCTCTTCCTGCCTTTTCATAAGCCCAAGACAAAAAAAAAAAAAAAAGCACATGAACCATGCTGATAGCCAGGGTTATATGGTGTTTGGTCTCTGAATACACACATATATATATCATATATATATAAATGCTAGTGTTGGTGTGTGTGAACATTGTGGGTAACTGGCCAAGTGAAAATTGCAAACTAACTAGAAACCACTTAAGAGCGACGCTGATGTGCAAGCGCCTGCACGCTGAGCTAAAAACAAAGAGCTCTTCGAGCCCTGGCTATGAAAAAGGAAAAAACTAAAAGTTCTTGGCGGAACTGCATTCAAAAATAAGTGGAAGTTGATGCTGGCAAAAGAAAAAATGACTTAATATCGAGCTGATATGTTATGGGAAATGATTCAGAAGTAGTTTCAGCCGAATAATGCATCAATTTCATGAGCTTAAAACTGAGCTCCACGAAATTAACCCCTCACAACTGCAGAAGTTTGTAAGTTCGCAGATTTCCATTTGATTTATGGGCGAGTAATATGTTTATATTAAATATTTGCGAGTAATATGAGCAATTTGAATAAGTATTCTTTATATAGTTAAAAGGATGTTTGGGAATGTTTTTCATTACTTTTCTAAATATTGTATTAATATTAAACGTAATTTATAAAATCTATTTTTGTATCTCTTATTTAATTTATTTTTTCGCCTCATTCAGCCAAAAAATAATTAACATCAAATTCCTATTTTCTGTTTAAAAAAATTGTAAATATTTTTAAACTTATTCCAGCTATAAATTTAGAAGAAAAAAAATCGATTTTCATATATACATTCATTTAAATTTCAAATATGCTTTTCACCTCAAAGCTATTTGCAAATGCATTAAATATTAAAGATTTAATAGTGGGAGAGTGGGTGAACGAGAGAGAGTGATTGAGACGAAAAGGAATGTCTTAAAAGCTGATATAATTGAATATAGTTGAAAAAGCTTGCTTAAGCACTTATAGCATCCGTTGTGCAAAAGAAAAAAAAACCCGGTTGGTGGGATTTTCTTATGTGCACTCGTCTGAAGTTTTTCAGAAAAACCAATTTGTATCATTAATTATGCATATGCGGTTACCGCTGGAGCACGCGAACTTGATGAAGTGCCTGATGATGTTGAATGTTGAATGTTGAATGCTGAATGTTGTTGTACGCTGTTCACTGTTCACTGTTGGCTGTTGGCTGAATGCTGAATGCTGAACGTTGTATGTTATGTGTGTAAGTATGTGTAATGCTTGATGCTCTCGTAGATTTGTTCGGGCGGCAAACAAATATAAATGCGCTCCGTTAGCCAGCGATGCAATAACAATAACAATAACAATGCGCATGCCAGCTTCAGCTGCAGTCAGAACACTCGCCACATCCTTGGCAAATTCGCTTTTCAAGGATAATGGAATATTTTGCCCTTAAAGAGCAGCTACATGCATGCCGCACAATGCCAGCAGTAGCAGCATCAGCAACTACAGCAACAACAACAACAACAACAACAACTGCGGCAGCAACAAGAAAACAGCCATGTTCTAAAAATACGACGGTAAGTTGGCGTACATGCAGCTTAATGGGCAAAAGCGGCCAACAGCGGCGACTGCGTCTACAATATTGATTGGAATATACACACACACATACACGCACACACAAATATATATACACACACACACATAGTTACACATAGAAGCGCACTCACGGTTACAGCTGTAGGGCATAAGCAGCAGCAGCAGCAGCAAACATAAACACACACAGTAATACACAGCTAGAAAGACTCACAGAAAATCACACAGACACGCACACACCCACACACACACACGCATACATACACATGCCAGACGGGCGACGAAGCATTGCTGTTGCTTTTGTTGTTGTTGTTTCGCTGTGGCAAGCGAGAGCAAACAGCGAAGCGAGCAACAACAACAACTAACAGCTGAAACCAACGAAATTCGCACACACACTCACCCATACAGGCAAAGCGGCAGAGTTAAAGTGGATAATGGACGCTGCCTTGACTGAAGACTGAGGCAAAGGCAAAAGCAAAGGCAAAAGCAAAGGCAAAGGCAAAGGCAAAGGCAAAGGCAACGGCAAAAGGCGAAGGAGCGAAATGCGAATGCGAATTTGTGCGTCCCTCTCTTTAACTCGTGCGTACGTCGCTCATTTCTATTTTTAGACACGCGCTCATTGTGCGAGAGCAAAGGCAACAGCAACAACAATTGCTGCAAGTAAAACGTAAAAAAAAGAAGAGCAAAAAAAGCGAAAACTAATAAAAATGAAGAGCGCTAGAGTGAGATGGCAAGCGGTGAAACGGGTTCAACTCAAAATGGCTGCACGTAGAGCACTACAAATCTCTAAGTAAAGAGTCAGTGCCCAGCAGGAGCATATATATGTAAGAGAGAGAGAGTTTCGGGTGTGTGTGTGTTTGTATGAGTAAATTGAGCGCATAAATTGTTTTAATTGCAGTAAACAACATCAGCCAAAGGCAGAACAAGCAAGTGACCAGCTGAGGTTGCCGCAGCCACAGCCACAGCAGCAACAGAGCGAATAACTAGACACACACTCACCCACACATACACACTCACATACATACACAGTATAGTGTATGCAGAACATCAATCACAAGCGTTGACAGCGCTGCTGACGCATAATTTGCATAAAAAACTATTTACAATAATAATTACA